CCGCCCTGCCGTCTCACCACAGGATACAGGAGGGTCTCTGCTCCGGCACACCTCCCCCCTCCTTTCTTCCTCCGTTCCTCCACTGACCTTGGTGTTCATGCAGCTGCACCAACTCCTCCTCACAAGTCCCACTGCCCGTTACCACGTCCCTTCTTAAATACGTTATCGCAGAGGTGCAGCCGATTGGCTCAATTTCCCAAACAGAAGTGGAGCTGACATGGAGCTGGGGGAGCTTCGAGAAGCTTCTCACAGGGGGCCACCCCGATAGCCCCCTCCCCTGCCACCAAAAAACTCCACCACTCACTCAACCCAGGACAAACTGGATGTTAACCCTGAAAATAAAGATACTGTTTCTTACTTAATGTGAGTCAAGAATACCTGAATCTTATGTCAGGATTCAGTAAAACAGTGTCTGGTAGCGAAATGGTGTAATATGCCCAGTGAAGACTGTAGCAGCTTTAGATCTGACCTGTCTAAATCTTGCAAAATCTGGAAGCTATGCTTACTTTTAAAATTTTAAGCTGAGTACTGCTGAATTCCAACCAGGCCTCAGAATAGAAGGGCAAAGTTCTTGTAGGTGCAAGAAAAAGGGAATTTGGAAACAGAAGTACAGGTTAACATGGGCAGTTATGTTGAAAGCTTGGAAGTGCATAGTAAGGAACAGGGAGAGAGAAGAGAGAGTCAGATAGCATGGCGTAAGAGATGCAAGAGACAAAAAAGGAAAGGTTAAAAGTGCATGATAGGAAGTGGGGGAATAAAAAGTTGGAAACAAACACTAGTATGACTTGAGAGATAAAGGATTACTAAACTGAAAGTAAAGATTATATTACTGAAGATGGGAGGAAATATTTTAGACTTAATATACTCTATTTCACTTTCACTATTAGCATTACTAATTGTCTGTAATACAACCACAAATACCTGATTGTCACTAAAAAAACCCAAACCTAAGAAAAAAAACAAGGCAAAGTCCTAGGCTAAGGTTGATGTGTAAGATTTTAAAATGCAGAAAGTTCTTGTTGTTAAGGATTTGATGGTGATGAAGCAGCAAGGTTTTTCAGCTCAGTTATAAGTTTAGAATGAAATAAATAGTTATTCATATTCTGAACTTTATTGCTGTGTATTTTAGAGAGATTGACCAGGTGCATAAGTATGTGTACTATCAACTTTGTTATTCCACAGGCCAGTAGATATCAGGTGATTTTCATTTTTGTATTTAACTACAGAGTTCTAGTTCCTTTTAACAGTTGCAGAACTTCAAAGACGATTGCAGAATTTTTTAACTGTTGCCTGCACTGAAGAGAGTGGTGAAAAGTTTTGGATACATTAGAAAGGTTTATGGCATATAGATACAGTTTTATTTCCTTTCTATGTGTTTCTTGTAAAAACAGTTATTTAAAAATGGAACAAAACAATACCCAACCCCTAGTGTTTTATGCAAAATGAAAGTTTTTGATTAGTTAAAATTAACTCTGGACTAAGTTCTTGCATACAATGGTTGAAATTATATATGAATATAATATATTACCTGATTCCCCTAAATACTGTTAATTTATGTGATTTTTCTAAGATAAGTGCTTCTTTCTCCCCCCTTCTCTCCTCCCTGCTCCAACTTTACAGGTACTGTTTTATGCTTTGTGAAGGGGACTGGGAGTAAACGAATGTGCTTTCTAGTCTCCAATTCCCTGTTTGTAGTAATCCATTTGTTAATATCCCTTTGCTGTATATGTGCTCAGTATAAAGAAAAAAAAAATCCAACAAGCCAATTAAGAAATATGTTGTGATCTTTGGAAGAATTAAAAAAGAAAAAAATTACTTCACTGACATTATAGCTTAATTTTCATCTTTTCCATTTAAGAAGAAAATAACTGGCATTATTTCAGTGTACACTTAGCACAGTTTATATGGCCAAGCTGAAGATAATGAATTAACACAAAGCATGTTTAGTGAACAAAATGTTCGAAATTGGTTTTGGCTGAAGTTCCTGTTGTTTGTTTACCTGCATACTTGATTACGGTTCCTTTCTTTTTCTGCATATTTAATTGCTGTCTAATTAATTGCTCTGTTGATTCCGTACATAATTATTCACTAATTAATGATTGATTCCCTGCATAGTTAATTAACTTATTGCTTATTTGATTTTTACACTTAATTGACTATAATTCATTGCTCTATTGCTGCACCACCTAATTAGGAACTGGTTAATCAATTATTGTTTTCTTACTCCTAATCTTAGTTGTTTAGGCCTATGATCAGCACAGTTTATCCTCTGCTATGTGACCTCCTTTTCCAGTCACTATTCCTAAAATAATTTCTTTACTCACTTCTGTTTCCATCTCATCTCTGAGCAAAGCACATGCATCTTATATATATTTTCCCGATGCTTTCTGCACTTTCACTAACACTCACATTGTTCTCTGCAACCTGGTCTGTTTGCTTCTGGTTTTGTTCCAGCTTTACTGATGTTTGGTGGTTTGTGTAATCAGGTACTTTAAACAACCACAGAGACTTTTGGGGATTCTTCTTGCTTTTCTGCCCATCTCACTGGGAGGAGTGAGAGATAAAGTGCTGTGTAAGTACTTATTCCAACTGTTGAAGTAGAAAAGAGATAAAAAGCAGTGAGCCTGAACTTCTAGGGCAAACAACCGTCATGGCAGGAAGCTGAAACAGTGGCATATAAAACCTCAAAATAGAAGTGTCCACTAAAGCATAGAATTTCAGTGTTAGTTAAGCCTTTAGGTAAATGCTCACAGGTTTTGTAGTAAGAATCTTAAATGTGCATTTACATTTAGAGTGAACAGTTGCTGTCCACTGGGTCAATAACAGGCTTCATTCACTTAAAAAAAAATAACTAGAGCAGCACTAGTTCAAAGGAACTAATTAAAAGGAACGTTTCCATTATAAACATACTGCAATCAAAATAGAAATGTGTGTGTGCTCAGGACAGCAGAATGCCTGGGAAGGAGCCCTACCGAGCTACTAAGAAGACATTGAGTGTATTATACATTTTACATAGCCACTTGTGTATTTCAAACAACAGGAACAGTATTTGAGTTGTTTTTCAGAGATGTTTTAAAAGAGATGAAGATCTACTCTGCCTTTTAGTTTTGAGGTAGTTATATTACTTCTGAAGATGAAGATTTTGTTATAGTTTCAGGTGCAAATAACTGTAAAAGAAAGACAAGGCTGGTATTCTTAACATTTAAAACACCTTAAAGATGAATTTTTCTTGAGCGAAGTGAACCATATAATTAGTGTGTCATGAAGGGAGGGGAATAATTTTGAATAGGGGCAGTGAGCTTCATTTTGAAAATAGGCCCTAAAACACAGCGTCCCTGTTCTCTTCCAGATTCATCCCAAAGTTCAGAAAATATCACTTTATTTCTGTACTTACCCAGCTAATCTGTGGTTTGGTTTGTACCTCAAATAGCATTGGTTATTACAGTTTGATTTCAGTGAGCATATGGCTCTCATTTCCTTAGGGAGGTAGAGGGAGAGGAGCAGTTGAAACCAATCTTTGGGCCAGGAGTTTATATATGTAGCTGAAGAACAAGCGTGCTGTTAGAATTGGTTCCTGGATGTCGTTAGGTTTCATTGGACATTGAAGGGGGAAGGGACTGGTGAAAAATCAAACCATTAAAAAAAAAGACAGCAGTTTTAGGAAGCAAAGTACTCTGAATTATCTCTCTGCCAAAAGTCTGTGAGCTTTTTAGCTGTGTTTTTCTGAATTGTTAACTTTATATTAACCTTTTTTTATTGTTATTTACTGTCTTTTGGCTTTGCTTTCACATCACACCTCTAGTACCTTTGAATTAAAAAAAATGCCATGACATTTTGTCTAAAAAGTTCTGCAACATCTCTTTTTGAAGCACTGACCAAGGAAAGTTTTAATTACATTCTTCATTTGCTGCTGCTTTGGAGGTTTTTAGTTTATTGGGGTTTTTTTTTGAATCAACTGGAATATTTCATAAACTTATATGTCAAAGCATATGGAATACTTGATGTTTTTATTAATGGCAAATGTTAACATTGCCTCAGGCTGATATGACAGGTTTTGTTTTGAGAGCAAAACTTTTCCCTTTGTGTTTGTACAGCTCTGAAGTGAATGGCCAGAAGGAGAAAGGATGATTTTGTGGTCTGTAGCTCTGCAGATATTTTGACCTTCCTGCCCAGTCTTTCATTAATGGCAGATCCTTATCTAAGGATAATGACCCCTGAAACCATGTACCTAACATTTTTAACTCACAGTGTATGCTCATGGTAGCATTCTAAGGCAAAAATGACACATCAAAGCACACATTTTTTATAAATACATTTATTTTCTAACAAATGTTACTATAGTGAAGGGAAAGTTTCCTTTTATTTTTTATGGTATTTAATTCGTCCTTCCTTCTTTTATTTCTGGCACTTACACAGGTAATTCAAGAATTAGACTTGCTTAGGTGAGGTAAGTAGAAAGGTTAGGTACGTGTAGGAAAGAACAGTGAGGTCTGTGAACATAAATTAGGATTTGGAGCCCAGCTGTATTCCAGAGCTGCTTTATAAACAATAAAATGTTTTGCATTTATACCAATGTGACACATAACAAATCCAGACAATGACTTAAGGTCTTATATAATTTTACCGTATGTTTGAAAAAAATGTGAAATTTTAATGTTTTCTGAGGCTGGAAAGGAGAAAAAGATCTTAATCTATCCTGCTTCCTTTTGGGTCTTGTTAGAAAATTTGTAAGATTTGAGCCAGAAGAAATTTTTTGCCCTGTGAGGATCTGGGTAGAAGTTTAACCATTTCTTAAATTAATTCATTTTGGCATTTATTATTAATGTCTTCATTTAATGGTGTAACATTCTTCATTTCAGCTTGTTACTGTTTCTTAAGTGTATTAAGTTAACTGGTAGTTACTGTGTTAGCTGAATCAAAATCTCAGTAAGTAGCATTAATATAAGTAAATAACTTAAATTTGGAAATCTTAACTGCTTCTTTTTAAATTTATTTTTCAGGGATCCATTCCATCTTCATGTGTAAACTTTGTAACTTATTTTCACCAAATCAATCCGAGCTATTGTCTCATGTCTCTGAGAAGCATACAGAAGAAGGGACCAATGTGGACGACATCATTATTCCACTCCAACCTCTAACAACACCCACAAACATAAACAAAGATGGAGAAGGTACATTCATAAATTGAGAGGAATGTAATTTTCAGAGTCATTTAGGTTTTTAATAAAAGCTGTGGTGTGCTCATTCTTCACTGTCTATAGAGCAATTTACATAGCTTGGTTTTTATAATGGTTACTGTACAACTGCCACCCTGAATTTCATACAGTGCAGAATAGAACAGAGGACAGATGTGGATAAACTCAGCGTGTAATAGGGGATGATGACATTGTTCCATCAGTTTTAAATGTCAAGTATAGCAAAGTCTGCTTCCTACAGCTTTAATTTGAGCTGCGTAATAGCAGTGGAAAGACTGTGTAATAGCAGGGGAAAGCAACCAGGACACCATGGATAGGGGTGCGTCTTGAGGCTTAATGATGGTGTGCTTTTTGAGTTATCTAACTTGTTTGTTGTGATTCAGATAATATTAATAGTTCTAGTCCAAAAAGGAAGTGGCATTGATATTGTGCTTTGATATTGGCACTAGTAAATAGAGCAACCTGGTAGTCAAGGATTGAATTAGTTACACAGAACAATTTTACTCTGCAGCGGAAGAAGTTACATTCATTCAATTTTTAACAAATTATAATTGCAATCCCTTGTAATATTACAATGGGTTAAAAATAATTAAAACTTCATAATTATATCTTCTTTTAGACTTTTACTGAGAAGTGGGTTTATATTGTTTGCAAACCTCTTACTTAACACAACTACTAGGATTTTCCAGTCATCATGATTTCTGGATTTTAAAAACAATATGCCTATGAATAATAAACACTATAATATCTTACTTAAAAGAATTTTTTTATCATTAATATACACGTGATATTTCTTCATGTACTTACCAGTAGTACTTCAGTAGTTATATTAACTTCGTCAACAGAAGAAGATATTTCTAATAACGGTCATATAATATTCAATTATGGCTGCTATCTCCTCAGATGATTGGTGAGGAAAAATTGCATCAGATTATTATTTCACACAATGCCTAAAATTAACAGTGCAACAGAAGAGGATGAATAAATATCAGATCTACATCAAGTTTCAAAATGTTATTCTAATTTTATTTTAATTGTACAGAATTAATTTCTCAAGCATACAGAATGCATCTTCCTGTCTTAAATCTTTGTTTCCTGTTATCCCTCCACTAAATTGTATTTCTGAGCACAGAATTTCTGAGACTGGTATTTTGTAACATATTCTTATTCCTTTTAGTAAAAAGGCTCTGCATTTGTGCCAGGGACTATCTGCACTGTCTGTATTGTATGCTGTTAAGCATGCATTGTACATTTATGAGAATAGTATGTAATTTACCATTATGATCTGAAGTAACAGAAATTAGATATAAGTAGCTTTTAAGGAAGTAACTTTGCAAATCTAATGATATAAAATATAATATTTGTATGTTAAGTTACATATTCATGTTACCTTTTTTATTATTATTGATGAATTCTTTCATCATCTGATATGATCATATGATGCCACTTTTTTCAGTTTATGTAGCCCAACTTTTTGCCATCTGCTGTTGGTAAAAATGTAAAGGTAAATTACTTTCACACAGATTTCCACTTGTATTCTAGACATTATTTAATATTTCTTCTTTCCCATCACACAGATTGATCGGAGAAGAGGGTAGTCTGTCCTGAAGTCCTATTCAATTATTTCCTCTCTTCTGTTTGAAAAAATAGGGCATTTCACAGTGAATATAGGAATTTGGAGAGCTCTTTCAAGGCATCAATTTTTCCCTCCTGTTATGGAATCTGCAGCAGATAAAACTTTAAAACTTTGTAATATATATATATATTTTTTTTTTTTTCTCAGTGGACCCCTTCTTTGTAGTAACTCAGTATTGTCACTAAAAAGAGAAGTGATTGATGAATAACAGTCTTAGAAATTACAACTTCCTTTTAGTATTCGTTCACTGATGAACATCTTTTTGTCCTTTGAAAGCATAGTTTCTTGTCCAAGTATTGATAAACACTGTAGCTGCTCCAGAATTGGTATAAACGAGTGAATGCTGAATTGTTAATGAAGCTCTTTGTTCTGCCTGAGTAATACATTAATGATTTTATAAGTACTATAAACAAGTAAAATGCTAGGGAAGTAACGTGTTTATTACCTTAATGTTATTTTATTGGCAGTGCTCTTTGCTGAATTTTATTTAGTCATGCCACTTTCCCATAGTTAAGTCATGATCTATTTAGAGTTGATTTGTCTTAGCCATTTCGGTAGGATGATGTTAGAATTTTTTTATCAAGTAGAACCAAGGAAAGTATACCAGACAGATGTTGCTGTTATACAGATTATGCATAGGTAACTCTTATAACCCAGAAGTCATATTTCATACTTTTCCCATCTGTGCTATGCAAAAAAAAAAAAAAAAAAAAAAAGCCCAACCCCAAAAAAGCTCCAAAATAAAAGCCTCAAAAGCACACACTGCTGTCTCACCGTCAGTTTTCCATCCGCTATCACCCCCAAGTCTTTCTCTGCAGGGCTGCTCTCACTCCACTCATCACCCAGCCTGGATTTGTGTTTAGGATTGTCCTGACCCATATGGAGGACCTTGCACTTGGCCTTGTTGAACTTCATGATGTTTGCATGGGTCCACCTCTCAAGACTTTCAGAGTCCCTCTGGATGGCCTCCCTTCCCTCCAGCACGTTGACAGCATCACACAGCTTGGTATCATTGGCCAAACTTGCTGAGGGTGCACTCGATACCACTGTCCCTGTCACTGACAAAGATGTTAAACAGCGCCGGTCCCAACACCGACCCCTAAGGAACGCCACTTGTCACTGCTCTCCACTTGGACATTGAGCTGTTGACCACAACTCTTTGAGTGTGACCATCCATCCAATTCCTTATCCACCGAGTGGTCCATTCGTCAAATCCATGTCTTTCCAGTTTAAAAACAATGGTGTTGTGTGGGACAGTGTCAAATGCTTTTCAATGCACACTGATTTTTCATCCTATGCACACTAGATATGATACTTCACCAGATGTCTGGTCAGACTCAGAAAAATTGTTTAAATTCTACCATGCTTTGCAGTTTGTGAACTGGCAGTTTCTTGCAGAAGAGCAAGTTTAAAGTAAATAACTAAAATCTGTACAATAAAAAACAGATAATTCCTCAAAAAACAAGCTATAAAGAAGTAAAAAAGCAAGAAACCCCTGAGAGTAACAAGAAGGATAGAGACTGATAGAGTCTGATTCTTTTAATTGTATTAAATTATTAGATAGAAGTAACTTATACCTAGGATGAAATCTCCTAAAATAACTCGATCACTATCTGAAATTTTCCTCCCTTCCCTCTGAGTATCTGTTTTTGTTGACTAAATGTTTTCTTGGGATCTAATTGCTTTGGTCAGTCAAGTCAACCGTTACATTTATGAGTGGATGATAGCAATTTGGCTTTTGAAGTAACTACAGCAGTGGTGAGAGAAACCTTAGGCAGGAAGTATGAGTGTGAAGTTTTTTATCTTCATTATTCATGCATTGTTCATGAATTTCTGTGTTCACTACATCTCACTGATTTTATCAATGTTTTCTGTAGAGAAATACAGAAATGTAAATTTATTTTGTATTTATGAAGAATTGTGAATGACTTCTGATTTTAATTATTTGAAATACTCATTAAGGAAACCTTTTTTTTCATGACTTCCAGAATTTATTTGTTGGTAACAAATTTCTTATACCGACTTTTGGCTAGAAAGTGCTAACAATAACGACCCACAGAAATACTAGAAAGTAATTCTTGAATTTATTCAATGACAATGAGCTTTTGATTTTAAAAAAGAAGCAGTTTTTCTCTGAATACATCTCAATACTTAAGCAATTTCCTTGAGAGTGATTTAAATGAAAAAGGCTTTTTCTAGAGCATCAGAACACAACAGAGCAACTTTTTAGAATATGCCTGCTTATACAATTATACAACAGTCTAAAAGAGTGCTTGCAGTGTAATTTCTGTAAAACTGTGGCACTTTGACATCTGCCAATCTCAATAACACAAATGTTATTGCTTTACAGCTAGTAAAAATGCCAAGAAATACCACTGCTATAAAAATAAGTTTGTGTAAAGATAGCCTTTTTTTAAGCTGTCAGAGTAGAGGTTCTCAAACTTCATTTAATATTCCCGTTTTTCAAAGATCAGATGGATATTAGCTAATTAGCTGTGAAATTTAATGATAGCTTCTTTTTAACTTTAAGTTTTTTTTTTTTCCTAGAGCTTCTTGTAGTGAAGAGGAAAAGGGGCAGACCGAAAGGGTCTACTAAGAAGTTTTGTGTGGATGAAGATGTGACAGAAAATAACCCTGTTCTGAGTGAAGAAACTCCACCTGGGACAGAAGAAGGACCAGAACTCTCTGAAGTCTCACCAGGCAGCTTGGAATGCAGGAAATGCAATCGGAAGTTCTCCAACACACGTCAACTGAGGAAACATATCTGCATTATTGTTTTAAATGAAGGAGAAGAAGAAGAAGGAGATGGAGGTAAGAAAATATTCAACAAAAATACCTGAAGCATGTTGTGAAACAGTGTATTTCCATCCTGTCACCTGACTGGTAACAACTCATAATTCCCAGTGTTAATTTTAAATGGAATGGAATCATTTGTTTCTTTTATCACAAAAAGCATGTTGAAGCAAAACAGAGAATTAAGTCAGACAATGTATTTTGATTTTTTTCAAAAAGGCCAAAATGTTTATTGCACTAATGATTGTCTTAAACTCCCTGAACTGCTTCTTTTGCATAAGCAACCATTCTCTTTCTAAAAAAGAGGATTACAGTTTTCCAATGAGAAGCGGTATGGGCCACATAGGAAAGTATCACACACTGGTGAGGAAGGATGACCCTGTAGAGGTGTTTCTATCCTCTGATTTGGGAAACCTCAGTCCTGTCCTGTTTTTTTTTTATAGATTTAAAGACTGCTTTTCTGGATGGTTTGTTTTACTGTATAAAAAATAATGCCAAACTCACCTTTTCTATTTTACAAAACTTTATGTGAATGACTGTCTTTGGAGTATGAGAGTTCATTGTTTAAATTTTGCACTAAGATTCATTTGAATATATTCAGCCCCTCAGAATTTTAGAATAGAATATAATAGAACAGAAGAGAATAGAGTATTTTCATTTGCAAGGGACCTACAACGATTATCTAGTCCAACTGTCTAACTACTTCAGGGCTGACCACAGTTAAAGCATGTTGTAAAGGGCATTGTCCAAATGCCTCTTAAATGCTGACAGGCCTGGGGCATTGACCACCTCTCCAGGGGGCCTGTTTAAAAAGACAACAGTGACTATTCATATAGAAAAGAATAGAGTAGAATAGAGTAGTTGGAAGGCACCTACAATCATCATCTATTCCAACTGCCTATGTAACTTTGGTCAGAGGTGGATGTCACAGTCATACAAAGTAATACATTTGTCCAAGTTATCTAACTATGTGAGTTTTGTGTTTGAATTAAAATTAGGTTTTTGCTTTTTTTATAGTTACTAGCATGATATCCTGGTGATTCTAATGTAGATAAAATTTGCTAGTGATTTTTCTCCAGTTTTCTATCACCCTTTTCTGTCCAGTCTGTCATTATGATACACAACTAATATGACTTTTTTACTTTAAGTGAGATGTATCGTTTAACTTCTATGGTGATGACTAATTAAAATGGGCTTAGAATACGTTGACAGCACAGAAACTATTGCTTTGATAAAGTACCTGGTTTTTTTTTTTTACTATCATCAGTGGTAGGATTTTTCAACTGTACACAGTGACCTTTACTCTAGCTGTCTCACCTCTGACATCACAAGTGTCCATGCCATTTGCTGTTTCTATGTGCTAGATATGATGTTAACATTTTCATTATTTTGGTAATGTTGCCTTTTCTAATCTCGGTTTAAAATCAAATCTCAAATCAAAGTGTAAACTCAATTTAAGTTTCTTCACCTGCTAGCTCATTAGAGCTCCTAAGTCTTATCTTGATCTGTTTTGCTACAAAACACACTGGCAGATTTTTCAAAGTAAATTGCTCATCCTTTTCCTTATTTAAAAAGAAAATAGTCTCAATTTTGGGCAGATGAAACATTTTTTAATTATTCTCAGGGAAAAGCAAACCAATCAAGCAAAGTAAGTCATTCTTGAGCAGCAAGTAACAAGGGCTTCCAGTTGATGACTAGTACAGCTGGAGTGTGTCTCCAGCCCAAAGCTTCCTACCTTGACTGCAAACTGTGAAGGTGTTGGGGGATGTTTTTATCCAGAAAGGATAAATCTTCCTTGGAATACATCTGAGAAATTCAGTTTTCAGCCATCTACTGATTACTGTCCCATCACAGGAGAACTTCACTTCTGGCTTTACCATATGAATTGCTTTGTGACAACTTTTCTATTTCTGAATATGTAGATGAAAGTAGCATGTGTATTATTATTATCCTTTAACAAAATGTGATTACACTGAGTAGCTCAAAATTTTCTGAGGAGTGGAAGAACAAAATGGTCTATGCCCAGGGTTGTTTGTCACACTTGTGTTGCTTTACAGGCTCAGAAAACATGTTCTTTAGAATTTGAGCCCTAGGAGTTGGATTGTTATCAGACTCAATTTTCATTATGAAGAAAGTTATGGGGATGATGGGTGAACCTTCTAAATGTGAACAAAAAAGTCTAAATTGAAAAGGCAAGTAAATAATGAAATTATAAATGTATTTTTATCTGTTTATGTAATTTCATGAAGAACTTTTCATAATTTAAAAATAAAAAAAATACTTACCCAAATACACCAAGATTCTTAGTTGTCAAAATTGTTGACAGAGTCCCTGAACTAGAAGTTTCACCCATGTAATTGACAACTGAAATCTGTTAAACTCATTAATTTATCCAACTGTGTTACAAAGCTGTCCAGTTTTCTAGTTTTCAGTATGTTTTGTGTTATTTAGTTTAAGAGTGTTATTACATAGCCTGTGGAATAGTGGTACTTCTGCTTGTTTCTTAAACCTGATGCTGCTCATTTCTTTGGGTGCCATCTTACTCTATAACTTTGGGAAATGGGGAATAATAATTCTCCATAACGTCTTGCATAAGGTTCATAATTTAGAAATATTCTTACTTGAGTTTAGAATATCCTGTCTGAATCTTAAGTAGCAGAATAAGTAATCTATATGGAACTTGTTTATGCATCTGGTCAGTCTTATTCTTTTCAGCAATTCTGCTGTAATTATTTTGAGATGGAGGACCAGAACTACAAGTGGTGTTCAAGATGCAAGAGCATCCCTGGTTTATACCATGGCATAATTTCATTTTTTTTCTGATCTACTCTTTTTTTAATGATTCTCCAGATTATGTTTGATTTTCGGACTACTGCTTAGTATTGAATTTATGTTTTCAGGGAACTATTTAGAAAGGCAGCCACATCTTCCTGTGTTGTAAGAGTCAATTTAGAGCCCACTGTTTTATCAGTGAAGTTTTTTTCTTTATGTACTTTGCATTTATTGTCACTGTGGGTGAGAGTCCGTTCCATACTAGCACCTGTCTGCATATATGTTTTTATGCACTAGGTTTTCTAAGCTTTATTTATACTCAGCAAAGATCAAGTCAATACTTTAGAGGAGCCTGTGGAGTGATATAGGGTTAGCTGAATTGCTTGTAGGCTCCATTTACTGTGTTAACTAGAGCTCTGTCTATAATGACAATTTAGAAATCTAGCTTGTGGGTGCCTTAATATGGTTTAATTCGAGGTTATTCTTTCACCAATTACTGATTATTGAGAGATCTTTATGTAGCTTCATTGTCATCAAATGGTGACGAATCTGAATGTATCATACACAAATAGTGGTGTAGCTGTCTCAGCACTTAGTACTGCAAGTATTACAACAGGTATTTATTTTGTGTGGGTTTGTTGTTTTTTTTTGGTGTGTGTATAATGTTCAACAAATATTTCAGTTACTTGAACAGATGTAGTTGGTACCAACATTTTCTGGAGTAAACTGTCTCTGAGACAAAAACTCGTTGAAATCACATTTATTTTGGTGTATATATGAGAAAAAGGGTACTGAAACATTGATGAAGTTCTTAGAGCTAGACAGAGAATTTTATTGAAAGGTCTTTGAACCTTCCAGAGTTATAATATCTTCTCTTGCATTTCAGACACAGTAGTTCAGAGTAAATGGCTAAAAATCATAAGGATCTTTGACGGCAAGTTCTTCTCCCTTAGTCTTTGACCTATTATTTAATATATATGGGTTGTTCTTTTCCCTGTTTTTATCCATGTCTTTCCAACTTAAAATTACTTCTGTCTATTGTTATACCACTTCTTGGATTTTTCTGTAATTAATATTAGTTATGAATATATTAATTAATTATTGATTAATAATCAAGTATGTTTTCACTTTGCACTGGGTCTGCCTGGGATGGAGTTAATTTTCTTTGTAGCAGCTCATATGATGCAGTGTTTTAGACTTGTGACCAAAATAATTTTGATAACACACTAATGTTTTAGCTATTGCTAAAATATGCTAAACATATAATTATTAAAAAGAGCTGTGTGATATTCTTTATCAAGAGAAACATAATACATGTTTTGAGATAAAGTTGAAATATTAGGAAATGTTTCCAAGTAATAAAATGTTTTTCTGTCTTTTATAGATCCACAAGGGAAGTGTTGAAATCCTTATCATACTGGTCACTTAAAATTAAAATTAATAAATCACTATAAAACTGGATTGAAACTGCAGTATGTATTGGTTAGAGGAATAACTGGTAGATGTAATAGGCTTCTGCTGTTTTTTACTTCTGTGGTTAGTCATCCACATTGACTGCTCAGGGATCAATGTCTCATTGATAGTTGACCCACTCTTTCAGGAATCACCAAGCCCTGCTGTTTACTGACATCCTCTGTGCATCTAATTTAATCCTTTCACGCATAATGATTGCCTTCACCTTGTGGGCCCATTCACTAAAACAGCAAGAAAAAAGTATGTTATTTTTTTGTACAGAACTAAAAAATGTCCATTGTGCTTACAAATCCCCTATGTACACACTTAGTAAATACATTTTTTTAATAGAGGGCTTATTTGCCTAAGAAAGTTGCTGTGTTTTAAGCAGAGCTGTGTGTATACCTACTTCCAGTTTTACTTGGTTAAACCAAATTGATGGTTTGGGCTAGTGATTTGGATCTGGCTGTCTGGTGGTACTGCCATCCATTCTTTTTGTCTGAAGACAAAACTAGGAAAGTTGAGATTCTTCCTGAACAGCCACATATCTTCTCTGTGTCTGGTCCCAGGCAGAAAACGGAGCTGCTTCAGCCTCTGCTGCTGGGATGGGATGGGTTTGGGGATTTTGGCTGTTGCTGGATTGGATCAGTTCCCCACCAGCTGCCTCTAAGCTTGCTTGTTTTGAGAGATATACAATAGGTATTTAACTTAACCACCATTCCTCTCCCGCACTGCAGCATACCTCAATCTCTGGCAGATAGAAGAGAGGACATTTGATAGCTGGGGAATGGAATTTGAGTGGAAGAGAGATTACAGCAGTGGACAGATTCTCTTCTCTGGAGTGAACCATAATTTCGTACTGAATTAGGAGCCTGAATCATTCTTAAGGATGGCACTTCTTGTCTTAGTTTAAAATGGTATTGCCATCAGCTGGATTTTAATTTAAATGAATTATTTCTGCTAGTAGTATGTCAATCTCTGCAGGAGAAGCAGTTGCATGTGTTCATTTTGAATAGCCAGTTTACTTGTATTTTTCAAGCTGCTCTCTTGCAACTATGAAATATCAGCATCTTTTAGCAGATAAAAAATAGTAATTTGAATGAAGAGTAGTTTAAAAACATGCCAATTAAGGATGTGTAGCTGTGTCTGCAAAATGTCGTTCATCTAATTATGAATGCAGAGAGCAGTACCTTCAATTAATGACTCAAATAGAATCATGGGACAGATGAACAATGTAGTTCGATGGGACTCTGAAAGCAGTGATTCATTCAGAGTTGACAGTAGCTTTCCTCATCAACACAGACTTGACCATTTCTTAAACGTGTTAGAAGGCATAGGCACAGTGTTGTGTTTCTCACACAAACAGAAGCAGGCATTTAAAATGCATGTCGTTAGATAGGGGAGGTCAGTTTATTCGTCTGTTGAATTAAGTGCCAGCTGACAAAGTGCTAAGCTGCCTGCTTGGCAAGGGAGATGCAAAGTGAGGCAGTTTGTCTTAATAAATCTGTTTAGGAGCAAGCAAAGACCCTTACTGCTTGGAGAAACTTTGCTTAGCTATTTTAAGTTGCATATACTCCATTTTCTCATAAATCATCTTAAAATCACTTAGGTTGCTCCTTATAATACAACAAGAATTTTTGTATTATGCAGGTGAATTATTCTAGTTGTGAGAGACAAAAAACTTATTTTGACACTCTAATCCCCATTGCTAACACGTAATTTTTTCCAGGAAAACAACTGAATTACTGATGAGATGGTCCCATATTATGGAGAGGCAGTTTGAGCCTTGTGATCAAAGTTGAAGATCTTGTTTCTCATTAAAACATGCTTTTGTCTCCCTCTTAATCCTTTCCTAAAGCACACCTTCCATTTCAGGGTATTTTGGTCTAGAGAGAGTTCAGGAAGAAAGCACCTGTCATTGAGAGTTAAGGTGTTTTTTTTTTTTTTTTGTAATTTGATGGGGAGTGTTTGGTTTGTTTGTTTGTTTTTTGCTAAGTCTCTTTCAGGGTACACACAGACTATGAAATAGTTACCTTTGTAGCAAAAAGTATTGGCAACATGTGAAGTCCCATATCCTTGTCAAAGAATCATTTCTGGAAGGTGCTTGTTCCTCTCAGAAAAGGGAAGAATGAGACGACTGCCATCAGCATGCATCAGATTAGTGAATAAATTTTAACATTAAGTATCAGGATTTGACTTGACCACTCTGCAGAGAGGAGACATTTTTTTTTTTTTTTTTTTCATGTATCCTGAGGGGTGTTGAGAATGTTCATACAAATATTCAGCACTTGTTGAAGATATATGATCAGCAAATCAGTTGAATTTTCTCACTTGCCCTTTTTTTGGCCAATATATCTGAGGGCATTTTGTTTTCTTAAAAGAATTTGCATGGCACTCAATATCTTCCTTGCATCTTTGCAGATACTGAATGTAGTCCTCCTGTTAGTTGCTGGATGTTCTCAGCTAATATTGAGATGGAAGTTGAGATTCAGTCCGTTGTCTGAAGTACCTGCCAGTTTTGTGTTTCTTAAGAAAATATTTTCACATGGCCATAATCTTCATATTTAGTATTCAGCATCTGTGTACAAAGTTTCTATGCGTATGAAATAGCAACATTTTAATAAAGATATATTTTTATATTGCAATTCAGTATATTATTTTAAAATATTTTTTAAATAGCATTTTTGGAGTTCAGGTTTGAAAGCAGGGAGACATAGTCAACTATATTTATTTTAACGTGTCTGTTCTTTTCCATAGCTTTTACCTTTGGTCAAACTGAAGGACCTAGCAAACTAATCTGCCTGATAGAGATGCATTAGGAAAGAAAAACCACATGAAACATTTGTTAGTCTATTACTGTGATAATAGTTACTCATTAGTGTGGATCACTAACAAGCTCAAGTCTGTGGTTTGTCCTATTCTATTTTTTAGTAGAATTCCAATATGCAAAAGTTAACAGAGTTACAAGTTAACATGAAAAGCATGAAAAGGCAATAAAATAGTTTTGTTGTTTGGTTTCAACCACTTTACTTCCTCGTTAAACTGATTAACTCTTGCTTTGTCATGGTTAGAAAGGAGGATTTAGGAGTAGGGTTCTTGGATTCTATTCATATGCCTACTAGGTATTCATTATGTGATCCCAAGAAAAATAGAGTAAATTCCATTGTCCTCATCACAGCTTTCCTTTCAATCTATAGTTCTGGATTTCTTTTAGCTAAAACATGCAAGAAATGACTCAGAGTTTTGTCCACAGGTATATACTTTTTTTCTCCCTAATACTATCACTAACTCTTACTGCCCACTGAACAAAAGCAGAGTAATTAACCCAATTAATTTTTATATTTGTTATTTAACTGTATGTGAAGTAGTGTCAGGGAAACACAATTTTATAAGCAGCTTACATTTTTCGTGTATTCTGATTCTTTATGAGAAGACTTTCTGCTGTTGTTGGCCTGGTCCTACTCTAAAATTTGTGACGATTCATTTTACTGTTGTTAATAAACTGACAAAGGCTGTTTCATGAAACAAATGTGGAAAAATATGTTTGTTTCCTCCCACCCCCATCCATCACACTAAAAGAAAACACTGCACAAGCAGTTTCTGGTCTAAGGGTATATTTCTTTATATTCAAATATTCATTTGAAGTATTGCAGAGAAATGTCAGCGTTAAACATATGTAGTTTTAATATCAATCAGTAATTTACAACTGTATTAAGGGGTTAAATGGGGACATAATGAAACCCTTTATACATATAAAGCAGTAATATTTCCCCAAATCTTAGAAATCTACAGAGAAAAAGGCAGTTGAGAAGATGCATATATCAAGGAGTTTATCTAATGAAATGGAAGAAATGGTTAGCAGGCACTGAAAAGCAGGGCTCTCAAGGCAGAGCATAATTTTCTATAATCTAGAAACTGGAAGCTGGTGCAAAAGCTTTGCTAATGTGACTCCATGGAAGGATGGCTTGCTCATTGTGTTTGAATTCAATTTGCTATGTGGTTGTTGCTCGTTGTAGGTATTGTAAATACAAATTTCAGATTTACAGATTAGTATCAAGTCATTAACAGTTCTCAGTATACACATTTCTGCCTCAGTATGCCTGAGAAATCTAAACTGAATTCCTATGTACTTCATTTCTTTCTGGTTTTGTATCTAGTAAAGAGATTGCAATTTATCCAGGTGGTAGTTACATGATCAGCTCTAACTGCTCTACTTTAGTTTGTGCTTGTGTCCCTCATTTTTTTAAAGAACAGCCAGCACTCTTTAACCCTTTGTTCCATTAAGGTAAGACCATGGGAGACAGACTTGTTTGAATCTCAACTGAATATTAACAAAATATTACTGAAATTAAAACACAGCCATTTCCATCTAGCATATCTTTCAACTGCTTTTTCTATTTGCATGTCATAAACAGCTCTAGACACACTACAATTTTGATGTTACTGGTTTTTATTTATATATTTTTCCCCTATCTCAGTAGAGCAGCTACAACGTGTTATGAATATACATTGAATGAATTATTCTGGAGATTGTGTCAGCTGCTTTAGATTCAGGGGAAAAAAATGAAATTTACTGGATTCATTTATAATTTTCTTCCATCAGTTTTTGCTTTCTTTACTCATTACCTATGGAATGTTTGCATAATACCTTAATTTACCAAGTTTATTTTCTCTAGCATGCATTTTCTATAACTTCATCTAATATAAAGAATTTTTGTTGGTATGAACTCACAGCCCTCTGCTTTTATTTTTCTTTTTTTTAAAAAATAATTTAATATTTCATGATATGAAATATAAATTTCAAATTTATAGATTTTTTAAAATAATTCATAATAATGGAATTCCTCATTTGCTTTAAGGAAGAAATAGCTTCAAGGAATAATTTAACTGATTACTGATTATTCATTCTTATTTCAGATTAGTGTTTTGAATGCAACTGTCGCATTGCTTTCTAGTTAACAGGTCCAAAAGTTATCCAGTTTAAAAGGCTGAAGAGATTCTGAACAGGCCTTCAAGATGAAGAGTTACATGTCAGGAGTTCGGTTGAATCAAAGAAATATTTTGAACCGTAATTATTCTTGAATCATACTGAGAAAGAAAAGTATGTTTCTGGCTACTGATTCACAACAACAGTGGTGAAAAAAAGCGTAATTCAGACAGACTGTTGGAAGACTTTCCATTAAATAAGATGGATAATGATTCTAGTACTAGGAGAGATAAGCCTAAAGTCATCACAACATTAAATATGGAAAGGAGAAAAATTATTTGTTCATTAATGATGAAATCATAAGAAATTCTACAAAGTTTGTAGAATTTTCTCAAAGATCCACTATGATGTCAAGATAATTTAGAGACACAAATGTTTCTGAGAGTCCATTTTTAAAATTCAGATTTTTTCTTTGTCTGTTTTCTCTGTTTGTATCACACTAGTTTTATTAAATGGAGGGAAGAAAGTTCTCCTTTAGGGACACATCCAGCACATCTTGATTTGGTAACATGTATTTCTACAGTAGCATTAATTTTCTCCTAATTCTTTCTTGTAGTGTTAGTGACTGTGTTACGTGCATTTCTTCTGTACATAGTTACATTCTTTTTGATGTTTGCTCTTTAGGTAATGATTCTGACGTTGACCTTGACAGGAAGGAAGATGAGCGAGAAAAAACTCCAAAGAGGCCCAGAGTTCAGAAAACAGAGAAAACTCCATCAACTAAGGAGACTGAACAGGTTTCAGGAGCTAAAAATCCTATTATAAGTGTGGTTTTGACAGCCCATGAAGCTATTCCAGGTAATTGGAATCACCAATTATATAATCAAATTCATTTTTGTCCATCCTGACACCGTATAAAATAATCATTGGTCTAAGACTGAACAACTTAGCATATTTATTATCTTAAAAATATTTAGTATTATTGGATTATCTTGATACAGAATCATTGCATCTGGTAGCTACATAATTTTAGAACTACTGTCACATTTCTTCATAGTTATGACAAGTGCTGGACCTGAGTGTTGTTATCTCCATTATCATCAGTTATCTTTAGTCTGTGAAGAGTTTTAAACAGTGACCAAAGAACAGAAAAGTGTTTTTCCTCTGTAATGTCTTTATTACAGCTCTTGATTTTTGTGTATATTTATGATAAATGCAAATTTGTTTATGAAAACACAAACATCTTAGTGTATATATAACTTAATATTTATGCATGCAAATCGTTTGACAGAAAATATATATATATATTTGAAAATCAAGTAAAGTTCCTATATAATGATTAAAGGATTCTTCATTTGTAAATTTCTATAGTGCATTTTCATCAAAGGATTTTGGAATAATATCAAACTATTTGTTTTAAAACTAGACTTGCATTTGCCTGTTTATATAAACCATTCACTCACCTGACTAACAGAATCACTTTTTAATGGTTTTGTCCATTATTTTCAGCTTTGTAGCTTTATTGTTCTCCTTTTCATTATTCCTAACATTTCAGACCATTTGTTTTGCTTATAGCTCTCAGAACAACTAGAATGTATGTATTTATTTATTTTATTGTTCTGGGTTGGAAGCTAGCTGGATTTTCTGTGTTATTCTTTAATATCTATAATATGCTTGGACTTTCTTTGCTAAAATGAATTTTTAATTGGGATAGTAGAGGAAGCTGGATAAGCTCACCTATGAATATCCTGGGTGTTTAGAAGGGAAGTAGAAAGCACCTTCACATTCATTGTTTGAGAAGCATCACATAAGGTTTTGGACTGTTAAAACTTTGGTCTTACAATATTGTAAATAAAGAGGAAGGTGAAGGAAGACTGATGAGCAGTGGAAGTGTGGAAACCTGGCTCCATGGTGGCTTGAGGTCTGCACCACTTTGTTTCACTAATCACAGGCACCTTTCTGTTGTGTGCTGTAACCCTGGGCTCTTTCCTAGCTCTTGCTAAACACTAATTTTCCAACTGTGTCTCCCACCTCTTTTACCTCTTTACCACTGCATGTAGCTTCTCCCTGTCCTGGTGCCCATTCCCCTCACTGCCACAAATGAGGCTCCCCTCATGTCCCCTGCTCCTTCCTCTGGGCAAAGGGGAACGTGCAATGCTGGTAAAGGGGCTCATGTAGGTGTTAGTAAATGGCTTCATATAGGTGCTGGTGTACGGATTTATACACACATCTTCTCTTCCTCAGGGCTTTTGGTGAGAGATGTGATTGGGGTCTCCTCTCTGCAATTGCTAAATTTTTGTCTTTGAGATCTTTACATTTCTGGCAAGGACTAGAAGAATTTTCAAGGGGGAGAAGGAAAGTCATAGTAGACAGTGCAATCAAAGACCCATTTTCTTAAGAAACTAGACTAAAGAGGTGAATGAAAAAATAATAAATACAGATAGTGAAGAAAATGCAGTAGGCATGTGATGTGGAAGAGGAAATGAAAATCTAGAGGAGACTGGTGCCTTAGTTACTACCTAGTGAAATTTGTCTTTGGGCAACAAAAATTTGGGTTTTATTTACACATATGCTTTCTGAGTGACTCAAAATATTGAAACAACTTCAACTTTGGGTCTGTTTAGGCATAGTACATATTACATTCAGAAGTCTGTAATGAACTGAAGGGATTTATGGTCAAATGTGAACCTGCAGCTATTTTTGAAGGTCCTCTCATTTATTTGGTTGATGATTAGTAATCTTCTTATGTTCAAGTTCCCAGCTAAAATGTGTGTAATAAAAAAGTCACTGTTGTTAAGACAGTTATGAATTATCATACTACATTTCAGAATTTGGAAATTCTAGAAGATATATAAGTGGTTAACTCTTTGAAGATTGAAATGAAAAATATTCTATTTAATACAATTATGTTTTAATTTATTTTTCATTGCTTTTCCTTCTATTTTTTCATTAATTTCCATGATCTATCTATATTTCAATGTCACTATCAAGTCTCTAGGCTGTTCTCCTTTCTCAGTAATACTTTAATGTCTGGAGTTTTTATAAAGATATTTCACAGTCTTTTATTCCACTTTTCTGGAGATTTATCATGTGCTGAAGAAATGAGTTATTGCTGTAGACTACTGTTGAAGAATATAAATAGATAAAACATTTCTCCCTTCTCCACTGCTTTCTGTGTGCTAGATCATCTGTAAAGTTAAGTTGAAAATAAAGTTTAAAAGTGCTTAAGCACTATCAAAACTTAGTCATCTTTCTGCAAGCATTAGCATTCTGAAGCCACCTGTTATCTAGCTTTAAAGTTGCATAGAAGTATCCCTTTTTTGTCTAGTGCAGTAAAATCCTCTTGAAGATATCTGATAAGCATTCTGTTAATTAGGAAAATAGAGAAAGCTTTAAGACCTAGTTATATTTTACTCATAGTATAGAGGAAATATTCTGACTGTCTCCTTTCTTAAATGGAAAATGCTTTTAGGAGTAATACATTAACAGTTTGCTGTAATTTTGCTACACGCTAGGTTTGGGACACTGCTTTACATCATGTGTTCGGTAGATTATGACTATACTGCTTTCTTCAAAATCCCTTTGAACAAACAGATCAGTTATTTTTTAACTTCTCAGAAAGAATGGTTGGACAACATTGATTTTTCCTCATGTTCCTTTTCTCTAATGTTTACTTGGCGGGCATATGAAAGGTAATAGATTCACAGCTTTAGAAATTTTAAAGCTTACATTAACCCACAGAGTAAATACAACTTGAATAAAAGTGGTAGATTTTTTTCTGTGCAGGCGCAGAACTACCTTAACAGGATTGAGAGGTGGGCCTGTGCAAACCTCATGACATTCAGCAAGGCCAAGGTCCTGCACGTGGGTCAGGGCAATCCCAAGTACAAATACAGCCTGGGCAATGAGTGGATTGACATCAACCCTGCCAAGAAGGACTTGGGGCTGTTAGTGGATGGAAAACCGAATATGAACCAGCAATGTGCACTCACAGCCCAGAAAGCCAACCGTATCCTGGGCTGCATCAAGAGAAATGTGGCCAGCAGGTCGAGGGAGGGGATTCTCCTCCTCTACTTTGCTCTCATGAGACCCCACCTGCAGTGCTGTGTCCAGCTCTGGGGCCAACAGTATAAGGAGGACATGGACCTGTTGGAGCAAGCCCAGAGGAGGCCATGAAAATGATCAGGAGGCTGGAGCATCTCCTTTATGAGCACAGGCTGAGAGAGTTGGGGTTGTTCACTGCAAAGAAAAGAGAAGGCTCTGGGGAGACCTTATAGTGGCCTTCCAGTACTTAAAGTGGGCTACAGGAAAGATGGGGAGGGACTCTCTATCAGGCAGTGCAGTGATAGGATGAGAAGTAATGTCTTTGAAAGAGTAGATTGACACTAGATATAAAGAAGAAATTATTTGCTGTGAGGGTGATGAGACACTGGAACAGTTTGCCCAGAAAAGTTGTGGCTGCCCTCTCCCTGGAAGGGTTCAAGGCCAGGTTGTACGGGGCTGGGAGCACCCTGGTCTAGTGGAAGGTGTCCCTGCCCATGGCAGGGGGGTTGAAACTAGGTGATCTTTAAGGTTCCTTCCAACCCAAAACATTCTGTGATTCTATAACTGCAGGGACCCAAAGACATTGAAGAGTGGGAGTGCTGTGTTCATGAACACATACACCTGGTATCAGACTAAATGTAGTACAGTTTTTCCTAGGCATCTCAATTAAGAATGAGAGTGAATAACTACAATTATGCACGTCTAAAAATACTTTGTTTTGAACAGCAGATACTTTTCTTCATAGACTTATTTTTAAGAACCAGTGAGTAAACTATGCCAAATACTAAGTCTTCTTGTTTTTTAATGTATTTTATTTCCCATGTTTAAATTCTGTGATATTATCAAAGCTTCTAAAACCAATTTATTATTCATGTTCAATTACTTTGATTCAGGAGAGTTTCTACTTTGAACATTTAAATAAAGTTTTATGTGAGTCCTATAATATTTCAAAGACTCAGCTTGTTACTAAGAGAGTTAGTTTAAGTTCCTGTGAAGATGGTCAATGGTAGAATTCTTGGTTTTTTTGGTAGAGCTCAAGATATACAAAAATAGCATAAAGTATTTAATTCTTGATGCTAATTATTTTGTGGTTTCTAAAGAAGTTGAATTTTTTCTCCTACAAATTCTTAATAAAACACTGTGCAGGTTTTTCTGTCTTTGATTTCCACTGAGGAACCACTATCCCTAAAAGATCAACTGTGTTCTCTTGCTACTATACCCTGTGCTGTAATTTATGAACACTGGCTTCATTAGCCCATTGACATTTTTGGGAAGTGGGGAAGAAATGGAAGAATGTAATTTTGATTACTATTTTGGGACTGACTTAGTTTAACTGATGACAGTCTTTTCCGTTAAACTGATAAAAGTCTTTTCTGTTTAAGATGACTTCTTATTTGTAGCTCACGGAACGATGGTTGTGCGTTTATGACACACCTGAATGGATTTAACATTAGACTGTTGCCAAGGGAGCTTTCCTGCTTGTCTCTTATGTCCCTGTTCACTTCCCCTCACTTGCACCGGCACTAGTGCTTGTGGCAGCCTGTAGTAAACTGATTAAAAAAACTGGTAAAATAAATACACACACATGTGCACATGCACATACACACACACATGCACATTTTCTCTGCCAGAGAATTTTTTTCCTACCTGTTTTGCTTATGAAAATGCCTCACATTGGGGCCACACAAGTTTCAAAAGTGGAAGAGGGAAGGCGGTGTCAAAATGAGTCTGTCAGGGGAAGGGAGGAGGATGGGATAAAGAACCTGGGTCGGTAAGTATAGATGGCTGTCAAAGGGGTAATCCTGTCCTCCTGC